AAAAATTAGTTTTGTTTTAGTTCAGTTCAATATCGTTTTTCAAGATATGATGCAAGTTTGGTTCGATTTTAATTACCAATTCGAGATAGGGCATGACGATTAGTACATAGACAAAAGCTTTTTCTTGTTATTTTGATCTCAATTCCATTTTTACACCGTTTATGGTGTGGTTTCATTTTGTTTTTGGTTATCAATATCAGGCATTGCGATTATTTCTATAGGTTGGGCCATCACTGCACCTGTACAATATTTCTGTTTATTCATCATTAAAGATTGCGGATATAAAAAACAATCAGAGAACTGTAATTTTATACGACTTGATAAAACTATTTCAAATTAAAGAATAAATTACAATGCATTTATAAGCACCTTTTATATGTCTCTATTTTTCGCGTGGAAATTTCCAGAGTATTTACAACCATTGGAAATATACACATCTTCTATCTGGAATTTCTCCAACATAATATTTCACAATTCTCGAAGCATGTGAGTATGGACGTACATTAAGAAATGAATCATTCTCACACCCACGCACTTAAAAAATCATAATAGAGATAAGTTTTTTATTGGTATCGATTCTTGGAAACTCAAATTGGCTCTGCATATAAAACTTATCAAAAAAGAACTAGTAGCTATATTCTTTACTGTCACTAATTGTTTTATTTATTTTGATTAAAAAGTTGCATATTTCTGTTTTTTCCTTCATTTAAGACATTTCTATTTTCAAAACTTTACATAAATAACATCATATCAAATAAAATGATGATTAGTTTCTTTGTATATATTTTTCTTGAATAAACACATGTTCATATTGACACTTTATGGTTAGATTTAAAAAAAAACCGACAAAATAACTCGCCATTGATATCTCTTGACGACTAATGGGTCCATCATATCATGAAAAATAAAGCATGTGCTTACTTTATAAAAGCAGAGTATATTCGAAATATACAATAATAGTTTGCACATAGATCAAAATATTTTGTTTTTATTTATATTTCAATACAGTTTATGATGTGATTCCGTTTGTTTTTTCGTCGACGGTATTGATAATTAAGATTTCTTCTATTGATCGTGTCATAGTTCAACTGCTGCGAATGTTGAAAAAATTGCTCCATATTCAATGTTCAATAATGTACTTTCGTAGATACAATGAAAGATTAAAGAATGTTATATTTCATATCGCTTGATAAGATTGTTTTCGAATTGAAGAGAAATAAGAGGTAATGTGACTTTGATGTATCTTTTATACACGACTATGTTGTGTACAGAAAGGAAAAAAAACTCTATGATAAACATATTTGATTTCAGTTGTCATAAAAGGAAGATAGTGACGTCAAAGTAGGATTGATGATCGTATCTTCACATGTGTATATACAGAAGAAGTGATTCATAGCAGTTTTCTCCGAAATGTATGAAAATGATTTTACTTGCATGTGAGTAATAGGAATAAAAACAATGTTACGCATTGAACTTAAAATTTTACTACAGGTGAGAGTAACCAATGAGTTTAACATTGTTTTTTTATTCATTCTTCTTTGTTGTATCATGATTTATCTAAATGTTTTATGACAGATAAAGTCAATATGTCTATATCACATATATTTTGCAAATGTGTGAGTGTGCTTCAGATCCACGTTCTACATCCACATCATTACCTGAATTTTTTTAATGTATTTTTAAGTCAATCGTCAGTAGAACTGAATGAAGAGAAGTAGTTTTTAATAAATCTTTCCTTCTATAAACTACAAATATATAGAACAATTGTAGTATAGCTGTAACTTAAATTTTGATTGCAATCAATTAGTCATGATTGTTTGATTCAACTTGACTAATTTCGCGAAATTTCTGTGTCGAAATTGCCATTTCGACAGGATACACATTTCTATTTACTCCTTCATTTTTGTCAACATTCTGTTTTGTGCACAATATACAGCCGACGATAAAAATTTAATTGACTTCGTATATTTCAAAGTTTCTTTCACGTGCTTAAAGGATAGGGACTCGATGGTATATTATTGATGGAGTCCCTGTCTGTCTTTATAAGCTTTTTATAATTCTTATCATATTTTACACAAAACGAGAAATTTAAGTGTTTTCCAGTATTTCAAATTTCTAAACAAGAGATTGATCCAAAATGGAAAACAACTAGACTAATCGATAGAGAATTTCATGCGCTGTTGATTTCTAAAGACAATGACTACCTGCAAAACTTGGTTTCGATGAAAATAGACGAAGCACATAAAAACTAGGGTGTGGATCTTGCTTACGCGCTTGACCTATACCCAGATCCATACACACACCCCAACATTTTTCTGAAATTGTTTTTTTCGTCATATCCCAAAATTGTTCAGTGGTAACGCATTAACAATTATCTGTGCATCTAAACTAGATGGAGATATTTGAAAATGACTTGGATTTCCTACTCATTTCGACTATTTCTGAGAATTTAAACTGATGCATCCTTTCCACCTTATATCACTTTCCGAAAGATTCTACAGTTTTGACCTATGACTTACAAAAAAACATTTTTAAATTTTATTACAAACTTTTCTAAAATTCCTTTGAAAATTTCTCAAAACTTATTAAGAAAAATAACCCAACTACTTCCACAAATTTTACCACCTCCGAATTTATATAATGATATAGGAACTTTAATACACTGACTATGATCTTAGTGCAATTTTCTTTGAAAGCAATATTTCAAACTTTCTGAACAAGCCAAAAAGCTTAGATATATTTAGAAGACCACGTTGACACTCATCCTTCTCAAACCATAATAGAACTCCAATATATTTTTATTCTGTCGAAAAGAGAGCAGATATCGGCAGTGGCTTAGCCGCATGGCTTACACTCATATCTGCGTGTTTTTTGTTCCGAGGTACTTAACATTATTTCATTTAAAATATAATTTGTTTTAGACATGAAAAAATATTATTAATAAATTTTTCAAAACTTGTTTTTCTTTTTAGTTTGAGTATTTTTGAAAATAGTCTTGAATTAAATTCAATTTTTTTAAATATGATCATTGAATGATCGTATATAAATAAGCAAATATGCTTAATAACATTTATAAAATCTATGAATTAAATGATATTATTTTTTCAAAAGATTCAATGATTGAAAAGCAAAACAAGCTACTTTGATAAATGATTATTGAATTATTGTTTTAAGAATATTTTGAAAATATTATTTTAATGTAAAATAGAAAAAATACAAATAAATACTAATATATTATCTTGAAAAATGCTATATGTCATTAATAATAATGCTATTTTTTGTTTTTAGTTAAGAATAAATTGTTAAGATATCAGTTTTCCTTTCTATTTGACAAGAAATACTTCATCATAAGATAATGGCAAAGTACTGAAAAGTAAATGTTAAATAGTATTTAATTCTTATCAGAACATTTTTATAAATAATTTATTGATAAATTCTGAATTTATTTCTAATTAGTAAAATGTCATTGGAAATTAAAAAAAAATTATATAGAAGAATTAAATAAAAATCTTCTTATTTATCTATCTTGGTTCTCATTAATAAAACAAACTGAAAAAAATTGGAAAAATATTTTATTATAAAAAGCAAATGAATGAATGTTTCGAATAAAAAAAAAACATTCTTATTTTAAATATTTTATTTAGATAAGAATGGGGTGTGGATGTGGGTGTGGGTGAAGGACCCTCACCTACACCCACCAGATGAATCCACTCCCATACCCACACATTCATACCCACACCCACACACACCCACATCCACATTTACACCCACACACACTCACATCCACACCCACACCCACACACACTCACGAGCACACCCACCGACACCGTCAAGACTTCAGTGGCCGCACTCTCACTGACACCCCCACACCCAATATTCTCGCTATCATGACTTTTGTGTCATGCTGTTTCTCTTTAAGACTTTGATGAGTAATTAAATTATTAGAAAGAAAGACAAAACTTGGAGAAGTATGTATTATATTCTTGTTTAATTGAATATTTGAGAAATTATAATAAAACCAATGAAAACGAATACTATATAGACCCTAGTTTATAAAGCACAACATTGGAATTTAGCTCCATTCAAGGCTGTGTCATCTCCCTCGCCTTGCGGTTTTTCTAGTTTTAGTGAAAAACCACAGATAGCTGATGATGAAGGACAATATTTCATCTGTTTCCAGTCGCCCCATGGACCACCATTCGGTGCGAGAATGTTAGATGATTGAGAGCATGAAAATTGAGAATCATTTGCAGCTGTATCATCACCTGATCCTTGAGATGATTCAATTTTGAATGAAACACCTCTCAAAAAGTTACTGTTTTCAGGGCAACGCACGACATTACTCCAATCGCCCCAAAAACCATTGTGTGGTGTAATTGATTTCACAGAAGTTCCATCTTTCTTTGCACACAATAATTCCAATGAATTCAAGGCAGTATCATCACAATCATTACCACATGGTTGCTCTACACGTTGTCGAAAACCTATTGCCCACGTACCAGCATCACAATAAACCATATAGGTAAATTCACCCCAAGGACCTGATTCTGGCTCAATCGTTTGAACCACATCATGTCGTGTTTCTACAATGAAAATTACAAAAAGAACTTATCTTTTATAAAGAAAAACAATTAAAATGGTAACCAGTTTTGGTGAAAAAATGCTGATTAAAGACGATTCGTTAAAAAGACTACTCGTTTGATGATATATAACTGATTCTTTTGAAATTAGAATCCTTGGCGAATTCATGGAGACATTATTAAGGGCTTAGGAAAGACAATGGAACCGAAATAATAGTAGATTTTTGTTTCCTAGAAATTCAAATTTTCCTGTATATTGTGCCAACAGAACTTTGAATATTTATTTACTAGGCTAACAGTTTTAGTTTGTCTTGGGTTCGGAAATTCGTCTAAGAACTTACTCTCCTTTTTGGTACTTTTTCAAGGACTACTTATTGAGAAAATTCTAAAACTAGCAGTCTAAAGAGATCTCAATCGTTACAGTAAAAATTTGTATATACATGTAAAATTTCTGAATGCTTCTTTGGAGGAATATTCACTTTGTAGGTGTTACAAGCGATCTTTCGGGTATCTATTTTGTTTATTTTTTGAACACACAGTGTAGATGGGATAACTCAAATTTCAAAAGTAACGTAGAAAATGTTACTTTTTGTATTGCTCTCATTTTTTGAAAATTGCAAAAAATTCTTGGGAACACAAGGTTGAAATCTATGAAAAGTAGACACAGTAATAAATAATATTTCGTATATATGCATAGACTTCAACTCAATCGATCGTATTCTTTTCGGAAAAAGAAAGGGGTGGACTTAATCATTTTTCTGTTTAAAAGATAAGTTTGAATAAAACGTGCACTAAAATAGAAAAGCAATTTGTTTTTTATTTCGTTCTTTTCTTTTTCTATATATAGTTATCAGTATTACAATTATGGAACAATCAGGAAAAACGTCTTGAGGCCATAGTAATATGAGGGCAAGAAGAATAGAATAATTCATATAAACATTTAAGAACTAAGCAATCGTGGCATCCATCTACGAAAATGCAAGTGATTTGAAATAAAGGCATCCACATGAATATGAATGTCTCAACAAGGACGAAAGTTTTGCCAAGAAAGACCATAAAATCAGAATAGGAATCAAACTACATCTTCTGATAACCGGTTGACTAGTCTACCATTAAACTATTTTCTTTTTTCTCTCCAACTATCAAAACAGCAGCATATCTAAACATCTATTCGAATTCGAATTCTTCAGGTCGGTAGTGATTATAACTTACATAGTCTAACTCTTATTGCTATACGAAACTTCAAAAATTTTGTATGCATGTAATATAAGAATCTTCTCAAGCAGGAAAAAAACCAAAACTCTTTGTTCATTGAACTTTTTCATTCACATCATCATACTCACTATTAATGGTTTTTGAGATTGGAATCAGGTCGCTTGGAACTGCCAGCCTTAGACCCATCGACATAGCAACTGTTTTGGCTAAGGCAGGACGGTTCGTCATGATTCCTTCGACACCCAAATTGATATAGTCTCGCATGACTTGCTCTTTGTCCACTGTATAGATGTAATTCATACCATTTTCACCTTGCTTCTTACCAGCTACAGCAGCTGTAATAGCAGCGTAATAAGACGGCGCTGTACCACATGAAGAAGCACCCGTACCATATACTCTATTATTTGTAACTGGGTACAGTCTATTCATCACGCCCTCGTAGTTATTCTCTTCTTGATCGGTTGTGAAGAAATAACGCTGCGCGTTTCGTGATGCTTTTGCTGCTATTGCTGCTGCTTCAACATACTCAAATGTACTAAATGATGCTGATGAGATAATAACCTGTCCCTTGTAGCCATAACCAAACAGATTTTCGTCCATGAAGGGAATGAGACCTGCTCCTGCTTTAACCAGAGTTTCTCCCATACTGGCATCAACTTTGGAGTCTACAAAGTAGAGCGCAATACTACTCTGGCGTGCAATGTTTTGCATGTAAGGCGCAGGATTCTCCCGAGCACTGGGACCTGAACATTGATTTTGAAGAACAACGCAAACGTGATCATTTCCTGTAGCGCAACGGCAATCACAACCTGGACCATGTTCAATAAGAAAGGGCTTTCCACTGTTGTCAAAATGAATGTCACATTCAATAGCATTTGCACCTTGTGACACTGCCCAATTGACGGCGGTATTGCTGTTGGCCATGTGTGCAATGACATAGAAGGGATTAGTAGTTTTCTGTCCTTGTACCCCATTCAATTCGAGAAAGAATACAAGAAGTGTAATCAGAAGCCGTGTCATCCACTGCAGTGTTGCCATTCTATGCATCAACAAATTTCTAGTTCAATACTATCAATAGAGCAATAATAGAAAAATATACACTATAGAACTGTATGAATATGGAGTTTAGTGAGAAAGAAAAGTTGAATGAGTTTTTCTAGATAGAAAGAGTGACAGAGAAAAACAGAGCTCTCTTTTTCTCTTTCTCTTTCATGCTATTTGTAACGTAGATTTGTGCGAATCGGAATATTCTATTTGGTAGCTCATATCAACTGAATCCGACAATGAATCTCATGGTTACCTGCTGAAAATAACATCATTGAAAAGAGTGTGAAAAGGTGAGTATCCCACCAAAACATGGATAGAATGTGTGGCTAAGTGCCTAGCAAAAAATTCTCAAAATAAGATTTCTTGAAAGACATCCTTGCCGTCTCTCGAACCCTATTCTACTTATTTTTCTCTCTGTCTTGTTCCTATTTATGCATGTACACAGGATATGTGTGTTGCATTAGCATTAATTAATGCTAATATTAATACTTTTACATTAGCATTAATGATTAGTGCTAATATTTTTGCATTAATCGTGAACACTAATGCTTTGGCATTAAGCAGACTCCTCCTTTCCCGACTCAAGATTTTCACATTTTTTGTGATTAATATGTAGATTTAAATGCCCTCTATCCATTGAGCACACTTTGAAAACTGAAAACCTACATCTTATATATAAAAAACTCGAAAAAAAATCATAAAATATGTTGAAAAAACCAAAAAAACACAAATTTCTTTGCGATTTTCTCAAAATCAGTTTTTCAGCAAAAAAATGAAGTTTTCCTCCCTTTTCTCCCTTTGCACTCCAACCAATCGAGCTCAAGTTTTTACTGTGAATACTTTGAGCAAACTGGGGCGTGTCTTTTTTTTTCTGTCGCAAATATTCTTCCTAAGGAATTTTACTAGATACCACAAAATTGGCACTATAAGAAAAAAACGCATTTTTTGATAGTGCCGTCAGTAATTTGGTTCTCCTGACCCTCAGGAACGATATTTTCCAAAGAAAAAAATGACATACCCTAATTTGTTTCTAGTTTCTGCAGAAAAAATTTCAACTCTAAACAATGAAGTATAAAAGTTTGTGGGGGGAGGGAACTTCAGGTCATTTTTCGCTCTTGGGTCCCAAATATCTCTGGGAAGGAAGCATATTCGAATTCTGAGTCTATGACAACTTTTGCTCTACTCATCGAGATCTATCTACCCTGAAGGTTTCAGAAAATTGAACCGAGCTGTTCTCGAGAAACCTAGGAAAGGAGGAAGTGTCCTTAATGGCATTGGTGTTAATTAATGCATAGATGTGGCATTAATTTAGCATTATTTTTAATGCTAATACATATACTTAGTGTCAGTTCTAGATTGCTATCTTGACATACTACCTTTAACTTTTTAAGAGCTATCTTAGAGATAGTACTTGCTAAGTTACCTAGAGTATCTCTGGAGAGATCCTGAAAAGTTATAAAGACTACCACCGAGTAGCTCTTTAAAAGTTTAAGGTAGTATGTTAAGATAGTAATCTAGAAGTGATACTAAGTATATGTATTAGCATTAAAAACAATGCTAAACTAATGCCACGCCTATGCATTAATTAACACTAATGCCATTAATTCCAAAGCATTAGCATTAATCATTAATACTAATACTAAAGTATTAGCATTATTTTTAACTTAATGTTAATACGACACCTCTAACACAGGACATCTATGTGTCGAGACTACTGTACAGAGAAAAAGCAAGGCGATAAGTATCAGAGGATGTCGAATGTGACTTTGAGCATAGGTCTGAATACACTAGAAGATAACATCAAGATTAGATATCGAGTGTGAAACTGAAAATCATCTTGCGAAAATGAGCATATTGAATCAAAATTTATAATAAAAAATATTTTCTCGATGCATCCGGAGAAACTCTAGTTGCAAAAAAATCAAAAGATTATTTTTTGTAAGAACACCATGCTATTCGAGGGACATTTAACATTTATCAATAGAAACATATTTGAAGGTCTAATCCACTGATAGGTTCTGACGAAGAAAATAATTCTGTATCAAATCAATCTGTTTTTGGCGAATCTAACCCGAGTTTTAATGAGCTTTCAAATTCAAAACTAGTTTGTGAGGCTTACAAGATATGGCTTCACATCTTTCTTATCGTTTGACTACTTTTGAAAAAAATACGATATTTTCTATAGGAACACTTAGTCCTACCAAACCATAAACGATTTCACTAGAATGATGATTAAAATACTTTCTCGAACTTTAAGAGGTCCCTTAGATGTAAAAAAGTTAGTCATGAATAATTAGGATTCGATTGTTTTTCATGTTCAAATTCACTTCATTGCGTTGTGTCTCATAAAAAATTCTGTATGCCTTTCTTTTATCTTTATTCTTTAATGATAAAGGAGCAAAGAGATACAGTGCTGTCTCTCTAGAATAGACGAGGACAGTCAATCTCCTCTCACAGTATGGAACACTACTTTATCATGCAGTACCTTATTTTAACTTATGAGACTTAACCTATTCAAACGATTAAAAAAAGGGACTGTGAACACTTATTTGTAAGATGGAAATCACAAATCAGATTGACAGTGCTAACCACAAGTTTTTTTATGAGATGATTCTCTTTACAGTAGCTAATCTCTGCTATCCATTTCATAAAGGATTTTGAAACATTTTCGCCATCGGAAAATAACATCATAAACTATCAATATACTATTTTAGCGCACAAATTTCATATATACTTATTACTCCAAAAACCTAAAAAAGACTACAGCTTCATATATACATACATTTGTTTCGTATATTTGCAGAGAATATTGCTTGATCAAGATAAGAATACCACTTTAGTATCGACGTTATTCAATGTTTAAAGTAAAGTATAATCTAATGTATATATATACTTCCAAATTCGTTATGCTTCGTGCACTCAACCGTAGTGCAAAAAATGATAAGAATAATTCTCCCACATCCTCTGTTTGTTTTCTGATTGGGAACTAAACCATTATTTTGCTTTTTCTCCCATTCGTTATGTGTATAGCAAAGAGGTACACCGACACAAAATAACCCATGAGCACCTTAATGAGCAAGAAATAACCATAATGATATAGTGACATCATATCTTGTTTTTTTCTTGGGAAAGTTACATTTTTTTGCTTGTTCTCTCATTCTTCTTTCGTATAGGTAGTGTATCCTAATACGAAAAAAATGCATCACAATGTGTGCAAATCAGTCAACTGCATATGGTCGAAGTACAACTTGTTTTTCTTCTTTGTACGAAATTATGTCTTTATTTGATTTAATATTTTGCGTTTTCATTCGTCGTGTAAAAAGTAAAATGAAATAAAAACACATCCTATGGACTAATGGTCATATTTATATAATAGTTATTTGAATAAAATAATAGTATAAACTTTCCATAAATGAATTTTATTTTCTGCAGTAGACCTGCCAAAGTATCTGCTTTAAGCTGAAATAGGAATAATTTCTCAATTTTGAGAGATATCGTCCAGCCCTCAATATTTTATATTCAAAAGAGTATTTTTTTATAAATATAAAAATAATTCTGATCAACATTTGGTAGTGTCTCTGATCTATTCTTTCTTTTTATCAATGATATAGTGGGCGCGAAAGTATGTGATGCTGATTATTCAACAGGCAATGAAGTAATAAGATCTGATCAGTTATTGGTGATCTTATTTTTTCTCGCCAAATTTTAAAATGCTCATTCGTTTTTTATATTCATGATCTTGCAGTAGTGCTTAAGTCGAATCAGCATTTTCACAAATGAAATATTTAATAAATAAGAGAAGACCTAGTATAACAAGAGAGCTTATATCGGGCAAATTAAAAATACGGTTAAGTTCAGGGTGTGGGTGTGAATGTGGGTGCGGGGTGTGGATGTGGGTGTGGGTGGGTGTGGGTGGGTGGATGTGGGTGTGGGTGTGGGTGGGGTGTGGGTGTCATTGAAGCAAAGAGCTACATCCACACCCACACCCCACACCCTTCCTACTGACTCCATTTTTTGTCCACTGTGATCTCTTCCCTCCAAAGTGGGCAGCCAGGCGACAAAATCAATTTTCGGGATTAAAACTCCTATCATAGCTAGCATTGGAGTTACTATGGTTCTCCATTTAACTTCATCCCGGATAATGATTGAAAGCAAGTATCTGCTATGTTGCAGGTACCATAAGGTACTCAAAATAGGTAAATATCACTAATAGGAAAACATAAGTAAAATGTATGTTTTTAATTGAGGATCTACTTATATTTATCAGTTATTATACAGTGCTATATATTTATTGTATGCTGTAGGACATTACGACTTCCTGAAGTTCTTTTTGGTTTGACAAGATGAAAAACACATCACCAGTATACTAAAAACTAGCTATCAGCCAATCATGTAATTCGTTCGCCGGGATTCAGCCAGAGATTTAATTCAAGTTTTAATTTGTTATTTGATAGACCAAGTCATCATCTATTTCCAGTGGATGCTCAAAGATGCCCGCTTAAAACCTTGTCCAAATATTTGATTTTTTACAGCATCTTGTGGTATAACGCGGTGGTCCCTCAGATGCACCTGAAAAATCAACTTTCGATTTTTGACTTGAAACTTTGCGCAGAGAAAGGTTTCAATGAGACTAGTTTATTCTGAAAGTTTTAAATCTCTTAGTAGCTCTTATGCTTAAACATAAATATTTAACATCTTGCGCTGTAGTAGTTGTGAAAAAGACTATGTTTTTCTTATACTCCTATATCGAGCTAGAAGCAACCAAAACAATCTGAAACTTTAAGAATAAACTAGACTCATTGAAACTTTTCTTTGCGCAAAGTTACAAGTCGAAATTCTGAAATTAGTTTTTCATTTGAACCTGCGGGAGATTACGGGTTTCTGTTAAAAAATTGCCGCAAAAATTAAATATCTCAACAGAAATAAGCTAGAAGCTTGAATTTTTTTTAGGATATTCATACCTCATTAGAGCCTACATAATGCATATAGTTTTGACTCAAAAGCGATTTGTTATCTAGGAATTGCTCCTGACCTCCTTTTTCTGCCCACTGTGCTTTACCCGATCGAAACAGTTATTTCTCATAAAAAAAAATGAGGATTGAAATAAATACACAAGGAGATAGTCAGAATTCTGCTCTTTCAGAAACAACATCATTTTTTGAATCGATACCCTCTCTTACGGCAAAATCTTTTATAATTTCCATTATCTACTTCTTAAAAGTATGAAAATTCTACATATTGAATATTTATTTCAATAATTTTTATTTTTAATCAATTTATGCTTAAAATAATAATAATGAAACTTATAAATGAAATCTCATCCATCCAGGTGGAGCATGTTTAACTTTTTTCTGTTTAAGACAAACTGGATCAGGTATAAAAATATATGATGGAATTGGATGAACACTTCCTCCAAAATAAACAATACGTTCTCCACTAGGCCGAGATATACTTGATGGAAAACATGAATCATCTGCATAAGTTTCAAAAAGAAATTCTCCATTACGCCATTGATGACATTTACTAGATGGTGCAAGAGGTGATGTACATGGAATATCAGCTGCAACAAAATCTTCACTTTGATTATATTTATTACCAAAACACCAATCATTCCAATAATCTAACCCATAAAGATCACATGTACCATTACGATAATTATAATAATATTGTTTGCCTGATGTAAAATTCATCCACATATGAAATAAACCATCATAAGTTGTATTACCACGACCACCATTATTAACTACAGTAACACGCATTTGTTTTGCTTTTTTATCATAATAAATTACTCCTTCTGATCGAAAATCAATAGCAGGTATAATATGAAAAAAAGAATTAACATAACTTTCTGGTATACAACAATCATGTGGATCTTCTTGTCTTTCTTTATTCATACTTTCTACTCGTTTTTCTTGTTCTTTGTCTTTCCTTTTTATATTAATTAATGTTTGAGTTAATTTTATATCTGAACATTGATGAAAAACTGTTCCATGATCATCTTCTAAAGGATTATTTGACAAGTATCGAACACGTAGAACACATTCATCACATGGTTGATTTGGTAAATTAATTTCAACTGAAAAATTTGTTTGTGTTATTTGATTCATTGCATTATAATCCGATAATGAATGTATTACAGTAAAATCATTTTCAGATGGATTAAGACCTACAGCAAATGATATATCAATTGTACCAGGTTTTATTGTATAATAATGATTAAGATTTTGTTGAAATTCAACTTTATGTTTACTACCAGCAACTAATGATGTACGTGGAGATGATGATGATGAATTAATATTACCACATGGTGCTATTTTATGATAACATGAATGAGCACCTGGAGTTGAAATATCAAATGTACCACGTTGCATTGGTGACCATAGGCATATATGCATATGAACACCATTGCTAATAGTTAAGAATACGAAAAGAGAGAAGACAAAAACCATCTTTGTTGATATTCTTAGTTAATACGAAATAAGAAATGATAAGATTACAATGCCTTTTATACTGTTCGAAAATGTTTTGTGATTAAATAAAGAAAACGTGTGTTATTATCTTTATGAAGAGCTTTTTCGTTTCGTATAAATAAAGATAAATATATCCCCCAGGCCAAAATAAACGAAAAATCTTGTTTCTTTAGTTTTTCTATTATAGTATATCCTTTAGGTCCCATATTTATAGTACTGATAGGTCTTAGGTCACTCTAACTGCTGGCAAAATGTCAGTTATATTCATTGAGAATTCGCTGAGAAAATGGCAACTCAATCTAACACACTCAAATGTAGTTGCGGCAAACACTCGTCAGCATGCTCATTTTTTAAAAATTTTTTTGTTTAATTCTGAATTAGTTAGTATTGATCAGGATGTGTTTGTGGGTGTTCGTGGGTATGAATGGGTATGGGTTTGGGGGTGGATGTGGGTTTGAGTATTATTACCTTCTTCACACCCACACTCGCACCCTTAAAAGTCTGTAAGTAGATCTAAAAAAACACCGTATATACGTTTTCTTGAATATTTCTGAACTAAAAATACTGAAGTCAAAAAGATTTGTCTCTCCTTGTTCAGGGATCATACCAATTATTTATTGATTAATTCATCTATTATGAAAGTCATGATACTTAATAAAGTTAATCTATGTTTTTCTTGCTCAGTAATAGATGTACTAGCTATTTGTTCATGTGATTGATAGGGTAAAAAAAAATCAATCAATATTTACCATCGGAACCAATCTTTGATGCTTAGTAGATACCAAAAAATTGATTGATGAAAGAGAAAACTTTTTTCCTTCTTAGATCCGCTTTATTTTTCAATTCTTTTGAAAAAACTTTTCTTTTTGTCTGCTTAGTTATCATTATTTTTATAATAAATCTCACTGTCACAAAAAGAGGTAGGGTACTGTATTTCAATGTTTCTTTTGTAACTTTCTTGCTATTTTGAAAGGATCAATGTGCGAATGATGAATCAATTATTATGATTCACATACAGATTTGTAAGAGCTCTGTTCTCGTGCTGTTGATTTAGAAAAGAATAAAAAATGGCTTCTGTATTTACAGCATCTAATATTCAACGATCTCATAATTTTCAATGGTATTGAGTGTGGGTGTCGGTGGGGTGTGGGTGTGAGGTGGAAGTGTTTCTATTTGTGCAAACACCCATACTCACACTCACATCAATACCCCCTTCACTCACATCCCATATCCACCCTACCACATGCACACCCCACCACACCCACACCCGCATACCCACGCCCTTCTTATAGCGATGAACCTAAAAGTTATCCATAACCAAATACCAAGCTGAAATCAGTTGAGATAAAAATCGTCTGTTTACAACCTATGTTCGAGTACTCTGTAGTTGTAAGTGTAGACTGCGGTCAACGAAATGAATGCCAACATTCATATCGATATCCACTCATACTAACACAATGATCCAAATTTACAATTACACATTTCTTAAAACTTAGTTTGAATTACTTTATTCGGACGATCATGTAAATAATTATAGTTATAGAAAGGTAACGGTTGAAATCATATGTCAACTGCCGCTCCCAGTGTTGCATCATTAGCGTCAACATTAGTACCGACGATTAGAGATTGTTGATATGCGTTTAGTTTCAGTGCTTGTTTCTCATCAGATTGTGGAAGGCCTACATAGAAAAGATCAATACTTTTTCTTTTCTCAAACATTACTTACTTGAGGCATTAAGTTCATGTGGCCAGTGTGTACATGCTACTCTATCTCTCACAAATTTCTCTCTAGTCTTTCGAAATTCTTCGAGTTTAACAGATGTAACCATTGCTGTTGGACCCATGCACACATAGGTTACAATGCGTAGTAGTCGAGGAGCTTTATTCTCATTCGTGTTCATCTCCTCTTTTGTCTCATCATTAATATCAAGAGCTGGTGTGTTACAGTGAATACATCGAGAATCCCACACAATGAGATCACCTGCTTTACATTTGACTAGATGGGGCTTTAATTGTTGAAGTAATGGGTGTTGAGAAGGTATGGCCACATAATCGTCTTGTCGATTCTTGGCGCTAACAAGAGATTGAAGTTCGCCGAAGTGATTGTGTGAATCAGGCACAATTACAAGACCACCAGTAAATTCATTGCCATCAGTTAGAGATACTAAACCTTGAATTGAGCAACGATTGGGTTTTCGAATCGGATGCTATTATCAGAAAAATACACAAACAATTGAAATGAATTAAGAAAAGAAACCTAAACAAAAAATACTGACTTGATCGCAATGATACCAACCACTTGTTGTCTTCCAAGTGGGATTCAAACGCCAATCGCGAAAGCAGCCAGCAGCATCAAACGAGACAAGTAACTCAGATGTCTGCCAAATTTGAGAAAAAATCTTTTTAATATTAGGATTGCCTCGCACGGACCACATAAATTGCGAATGACCGATGCCGTCATTCGACATTATTCCCAGACGAGCTATGCCAGGCCATAAAAAGTCCCACGTTTTCGCATTATCTCGTTGAATATGATATGGTACAGGCAAATTCTCCAAATGCTTCCAGAACAGATCGATATTGGAAGTAATCTCATCGGGCGAAAGTATATCAGCAAACACTGCAAAGCCATGTTTGTTTAAGTATTCAATACCTTCTTGTACTTTCTGAGCATCATGAACAGAGAATCGAGGAGAATCGATTTCGTAATCAATACTAACAGTCAAAGTCGATTTGGTTTCCTGCATCGATGGTAATACTGACGATGAACTACGCTGACCCATGATCAAATTAAACAATGATTGACTGCGAACAATTATTTTCGACTATTACTTGCAACA